TCTACTACCCTCGCCATCACAGAGGAGAGAAACTTAAGAATATATAAACTCTGTCTGGAAGTTATAGAGTTACCTGATATGAATATGGACAATAGATTGTTTCCGAAACGTTATCCAGTAGATAATACTGTTCCTTGACTGTGTGACATTTCTAATAAACAGATCAAAATAGAATTACAATCTAACACACTGCTCTCAAGTTTTACTCCTATATTAGGGACGAGGAAATTAGAACTATACAAAAGATAGCTCAAAGTTGCGTAATAATTATCTTGGTATGTCTATGGACAAAAACGTATGTCCGGAACGTAATCCAGTAAACAATACTGTTCCTTTACTGTGTGATATATCTAACAAATCCAATAAAAATGAAATTGTGAACATTTCAACATATACATTTGTTCATAAGATCGGAATTGTACGTTTTTACAGTACTAAAAGTTAAGATCAATCATACAATACGATAAACAATCATACCATCTATTGTACTGAATACCTTCATTATCCTTCATTTTCAGATTCCTATCCATTTTGTTCTTTGTATACTACTGTGAAGTACGGCAACTTGAAGCGATTCGCTTGTATGCGACGCTCTACGTTGAGTTTATCTGCCTGTTTGTTCACCAGCTTATCCAACCAACCATAAGTTTACTAGTACAAGTTCATATCAAGATTCATAACATTTTCCGCAAGTACCCGACATTATCACACTCAAAAGTTTAAAACACAATGCATTTATGTACTTAATATCAGATAGGATGTAAATTGTGCTGATCTGTTCACTACTTACAAACTGTCATCCAAATACGGGTCACTTAAGGGTAAACTTCATACGGCAGCCAGAATGTGACTGCTTCATTTGTCATTCTGAAGGATATAATCTCAAGTCACTGGTCATTAAGAGACTATAGTTACTGCACAAATAATATCATTTGTAAAATATGTCACTCTATAATATTCAACGGGATTATTGAGTAGATAAAATAAATTTTTTTTAAAAGGGAGGGAAGTAGACATTGAGTAATAGTGCTGAGAACGGATTTCAAATGAAAAGACGTATTCCATTTACTGAGAGTGAACAAAAATTGATTGATACTCCTAGACTTTGACAGCCGTCTAACCAAACAACCCTATCACACATGAGTAATGCTTCAATTACACCTAATGATGTAAATATACAGTCGGTTCAGAGAAGATAAGAGAACTTCAGTAGCCAGATCAACATGTACAGTACGTGCGTTTTCTGACTAAAGATTAGATATATCAAGTTGGCGTTCATCAAGAACTTACATAAGATGATGAGCTATTGGAAACCTTATAGCACTGGACAAATGTTTCATCCCGGTATGAGGCTCTTCTGTAGTACGCATCCATGACTTTCAGGTTTTGCAGTGAACAAGTTACCTTTGAGCCACTGGATTGGAAATACTGTAAGATGACATGTCCACAACCGATGCTTTACTATGGATCCAAATTGAACCCGTCCCTTAAGGCTGATGAAGCTTTCCAAATAAATAGCGAGTGCATTTGTCCACTTCATATCCTATCCTCACTTAAACTAACAAGTAGTAGTTCAAATCGTTCCTGTACCATCACATTATAATATAAAAGTAGTAATACACACGGAAAATAGTCTCAATTTCTTCTAAAGCATCATGAAGACACTGAACCAAGTTAACATTTCCCATTGACATGACTAGTTCATCAATGTACTCTAAGTTAGTCAGATGCGTTACAGACAGCAAATTAACCTCTGATAGGAATAATATGTTGCAGAATTCATGATGTGAATAAAAGCCCAGTTATATCAAGATTTTTTGAAAGTGAGCATTAAATGCTATGAAGTGGGGAACATCGTAGACTGATATCAGTTGGAGGAACAATGGAAACCTGAGAGTACTGGACAGCTGTTTCATCCTAGTATGTGAATCCTCAGCAGTGCGCACTCACGACCCCGCGACCTTTAGGTTCCCTGCACAGCACGTTAATATTGAGCCACTGGGTCGGAATCCAACGGTCCAATATTGCCAACTGACAGCAATTGGAGAAACGCTGAAGACGTGAGAGCACTAGGCAGCTGTTTATTCGTATTGTATGACTCCTCAGCCGTGCGCACCCACGATCACGTAAGGGACGAAACTCAGCAACTTCAGGTCTTGCCAGTGCTCCCAGTTGTTCTCCAAATAATGTCAAATCAATGATCAATACTACTTTGAAACAGCATATTTACTAATTTGTAATATTTTTACAATGAATTGAGTTAATAAAGTGCATGAGTTCATGTTTAAGAATACTTCGTGAATTATCAAATTGATTCGATTGGAAATATAAAAGAGAGAGAAATGAGTAAGAGGATTTTATTTAAAAGTAGTTGAACTGAGAATACTCGAAAGGAGAAAGTTGACTACGAGTCAAATTGAATCCAGTAACAAAGAAAACAACAAGAATCAACATTATCATTTAACATGAAATTGTTCTATTGTTAATAAACATTCCATGAATTGTTCAGTTAACATGATAAACCAGATTCAAGGTAAGAAAAGATGCCGCCTATCATCCCAGGTTGAACAATATTGCAGTCAGCTACCGATGATGTTGATGTATTCTGGAGCAGCAGTTCAGACTCTGGTCATACTTAAGTGAGCAGTAAGTTCATCTTACGTTTTTATCTTCAAAACTGGGTGGGTCAGTGACCAACAAAATCTCTGCACTAACACAAAATACTCCAATTTCTGTTAGTTGGAAATATGGACCACTGGGTTCCGACCCAGTGGTTCAATGGTAACGTGCTGGCCACGGAACATGAAGGTCGTGGGTTCAAACCCTGGTGGGGAATCGGGTATGCACTGCTAAGGATTCCCATACTAGGACGAAACAACTGTCCAGTACTCCCAGGTTTCCATTGTTCCTCCAGCCGATATCAGTCTACGATGAATAACAACCTCGAATATCTTTAAGTCTCTACAAACTACCTAAATTGAATTGAAATGGGTAAGACATGTAGAGCGTTTGTGTGGGGGAGAGAGACAGAGAGAAGTCCAACAACTATTTCAACGCTTAAAACGAAAAGAAGCGGAAGTTGGAATTCTTTCACCATACTGATACAGGCAAAATTTCTGAAGCGAAATTAGACGCATTCTAGTCTCACAGTGGATTTCGAAGCAAGTTATACAGCCTGTCATTTTATATCCGGAAATTAAAAAAGCTAAAAGTCTGCAAAGGAGAAAAGGATATGTGCCGAGAGAGTAGTAAGTAAAATAAGGACAGAAAAAACAGGCACGTTAAATAGATATATCATAAAAAAGAAATCGGAAATGAAATGGAAACCAAGTATTTGCAAGACATCAATATAAGTGAGATAAATTTCATAGGAAACAGATTGTTTCAAACTCAAATACTTAACTCATTACGAGGTAAGAAAATAGATAGAAGAAAAATTATCTTAAGAGGAATTAAAACAGTTTGTAAACCTAGGAGATTTAGAGGCCAGTAAAGTTTTGAAAAGACCGCAAGTGAAGTGTTGAAGACATATTACCTTTTATACTAATGATGGATAGTGGCTAGCAGAGGAATTCAGGATGCGCATTTCATCCTATTTGGGACTCGTTAGCTGGATATATCTGCCTCCCAGGAAGCAATATTGTTCTAAGACTAGAACTTGGGATCCACTAAGCCATCGAGTTCAGTTTAACCAACGACGATCTCATACGAGTAACAACATTAAAAACTATACCCATCACACAAGAACTGGTTATAGTAACTTGGTGGTCTACTAAATAACGCTATAGCATTTGAAGCGATTGGTCCCAAGTCCGAGTCTCAGCAGGAACAACATCACTCACTGGGAGGCAAGAACATCCAGCCGACGAGTCCCAAGTAGGACGAAATGTGCAACCCGGACTCCTATGCTGGCCACTATCCACCATAAATATAAAACTGAAAAACAGGCATCCGCACAGGAGTCCATATGCAAATGGAGATCGACCAAATTCGGCGCAATCCATGATGGAATAATACAAGTAACCTCAGTTTCACATTTCGCCGAAAAATGTTGTGGTATTAGCCATAATGATGAAAGGACGGCGTGTTGTGGCTGATTGGTTTAAGCAGTTGAATTCCAACTGACGGGTAATGGGCTCAGAGCTGGCTCCACTTACCAAGGTGTGGGTCATCAGGTAACGGCACTAGCTCTAATGCAATAGGTGTAGTTCATTGCCTACAGCACCAGCGCCTACCTCAACATGCCATGCTACGGGAAGTTAGATCAGGTTGCACAAGGTTTCAGGGTGACCAGACAAAGACCTGGCACCAGTCCATGAAGTCTGTGACCGTCGATCTCAGCGATGTAGGCTGCCTGATTAGAGTCCCTGAGGCGAAAGGAACCAGTGGTTGAGGACTGTTGGTGACATGGCTGAAAATCGGTGGGAGTAGTGCAGATGTATTCACTCATTATCATCTTCTAAAGCCTGAATATTCGCAGTAACCTTAATCTTCAGATTGCTTATTCTCCCATCCGACTTTGCCTACTGTGATATGTCTTTCTCATCCACTTGTTCTTTGTATAATACTGTGAAGTGTGGCAACTTGAACCAATGCGACATTCTAGATTGATTTTATCTGCTTTTCTGTGGTTCTGTTCATACAAAAACCTACGGTGGAAACGATGATCACCTTACATTAACAATAGTATAGATGAGGATATCATTGAGTGCTATAGATAAGTGAAAAAAGATAAAGTAAATAGTGGAAATAACAAGATTATGGAATTAAGACACTTTTCTCTCTGAATTACAAAGCAAAAATGACTGACTAAGTTTGATTCAAAGTAAAAACTTAGGTTTTCACAAACAACGAGTAAAAACTTAACAAACTCCACTAGGAAGAAAGAAAGAATACTGGAAAACTATGTGAAATAGAGAGATAAAAGAATAACATCAACTATAAGTTGGAAGGTGGTTAGACATCTTCAAAATAATTAGGTTAAATAAAGCATAACTTACCTTTGAATAACTGGGCAACTTGTTTCTTCAATCCTGGTTCAGAGCTGACTAATAAACGTTTTGAAAAGTTGGACTGAAATAGATGAAAATAAAACAATACGGTTATTTATGGCATTTGAAGATAACACTTAGTTGTAGCATAAGAAAATCATATTCCAACAGCAATTCATCAGCTGAAAACTAACAAGAACGTGGGAGAATACATAGGTTTTTTGTTTCATTCTAGCTCATGACTCCTCAGCAGTGTGCTACACACTACCGTATGAGGAGTAATATTCAGGACCATCGAGTCTTCATGTCAGGAGATATAATAATCAGTCAGTCACTGGGTCAGACAGAATACAATGGGTTATGTTTTCCAACCTCTGTTATGTCAAAATACCGAAAACCGCAATTATGAATATTACAACAACTATGCCAACTATATCTCATTAGAGTTCACTCTAATATACTTAACTTGCAACATGTATACAGTATATGAGTTAGCCAAGATAATTTACTAGTCAACGATAAAAAAGATGCAGATTCCGTACTTTAGTCTAATAAAGTTAGTGGTGGTATAAAAAAAACTAAGAATGTTCGTAATGACACAGCAATGTACACAGATGTTCAGATAGACAGATAAAGTAGGTGAAAGCTTAGGTTGAGTAATACTGGAGAATGGATAAAGGCGTGAAATATCTCTACTATTATCTAATGATATCGGCGGCTTTTGGTTTTCAAAACCAACTGAGTACACTCATAACGGCTTCTCAGTTCAAAATCAAGAAGTCCATCTCAAGGTAAGTAACTAGTCATTCGATCAAGTTTATAGGGAATCCATTAGACCTTTAGATATCGACTCAATAGCCAAGTGACAATGTGCTAGTTGTGAGACCCAATAGCATTGGGTTAGATCCCTTATGAGATCAGAAATGCGCACTGGTGAGTTGAGAAGTAGGATGAGATAGTGCATCCAAGTTTTCAATGGTTCTTTGATTGATGCCTATCCATGATGAAAACATCATTGAGATTAAACAATTTTCCGGAAATCGGATATTAAAGACAACTTTATAAAGTGGAATGAGTAATTCAGTTGGATGGCGACAATCGACAAGAAGCTCTGTTTGACCAAGGTTTGGTGCTTTTTGGCACTTGTAAGGAAGGCGTATCTGCTAACGTGACGAAACTGATGTCCCGCTTCGGATTCGAGCTCTTTTCACCGCAGTTATGCAATCAGAGATGTTGGCCCTGAGATAGTCGGGTTTACACTACGTCAGTCGCGGCCCAAACAGCTCACTGATTACGTCTCTGTCTGAATCACTGAGGCCAATTCGAATCTCAGGTGGGACATTAATCCTCTCGAGGTTGCAGATACGCCTTGCTGACAAGTGCCGAAAAGTACGAAGTCTAGGCCAAACACAGTCTCCTGCCACTTACCTTCATTCAAGTAGCATCCTACTCTACAACAAAAGAAATGACCAATTATACTGTGAAAATAATATGAAAAAGGAGGAAAGAAGTTAACTTCCCAACAACACTTCTCATGAAATATTTTTACTTATTACAAAATGTTATAACAAGAGAAAAAGGTATTTTCCAGGTAGGATGCAATGTCATATGACACAATATAGATCTTGTGAAAGAAAAAGGTACACAGAATAAAAAGTGAATCAATCAAAAACTATATAGATATCCAAATCAAGTTACGATTTGATGGTTTGGTATTTGTATTTCCCAATGAGAATGTAAAACAAAATAATGTTGTTTCAACTGGCATTTCGCTATTTGGTCCTAATAGCTTTATCCATTGTCCACTGAATACAAGTGACATCATCAAGGCCCTGAAATTCTGCTTGGAGACTACTTACTTCACATTTAAAGGAAACGTATACAAGCAAACTGAAATGTCTTGATGACACACTCACAATTTTAAAACATGACTTATACCAGGTATTCTCAGATCAACTCAACTCCAATTCACCCAGTATCAATCAAGTTCACATCAGAAAAGTAAACGGATTACGGGAAACTACCCTCCCCACTCGCACTCCCCCCTTGATTGTCCTCTCAACTGGAAAGAAAATCGTCATTCAGGTATAAACATTTTCAGGAAAGCAACACATCCCAACAAATATTTACATTTCAACTCATTACTCATCCAATTCACGTGAAAGTTTGTGTTGTCTCTAGTCTCTTAAGGAGAGCAAACAATCTAATAACGCATGAAAACGATAAAAGACCCAATGAGTTAAAATAGACGAACCAGTTACTTAAAGTGAGTGATTATGCCGTAAAATTCATTCATGAAGTAGACGATAACATGAAACTACATCGTAGAACTATGCCTTAATCATGAACCTCAACGATGGTTATCACACACACACATCGCATGAAATTAGGAGAGTGTTCAACAAATACAATGCCATTTGAGTTTTCTACAGAACACCAAACATATTGCTATAGCACCTTAGTTCATTTGAACTTCATCCTTCAGGATGAGATCCCTGTAGATTCACAATCGTATTGTGTTTATAAAATGAAACGCTTAGACTGTGATGCAATATACATAGGACACACTTCCCATGAAATCGAAATTAGGAGAAATGAACACCGAAAAGCTTCCACCTGACCACTTACAAATCCAATGGAACTGAAAAAACTTGAAAAAACATCAGCCATAGCTTCACATCCTATAACTTCAGGTCACAAGGTCTATTTTGTAAATAGCGAGATTATTCAGAAAGGCTTTAGAAATTAGGAAGAACGTCTCATAGAAAGAATCTCTTCACACTAAATAGAATCAAAATAATCTGAATAGGGATGAAGGAGTAAAATGTAGGTTGACCTGATCTCAATCCACTTCCACATAGTGACATAACCAACATACATATGATAAGAATTATCAACACAAGTGTACATACAGGTGTCCATAAGTAATCCACACACTCTTCAAACACAAAATACACTACATCTGCATATCATCTTTATTCTACAGTTTCGACATTCATGCAGAAGAACACTTAACAAGTTATCATTATATAAGCTTGGGGGATATTATAAATTCCGGTTTATTATAACCATGATAAAACTATTAGCAGTATTAAGTACAGCAAAACGTCAATTGAAACAAATTAATTGTTTTACATTCTCTCATTGGGAAATACAAATATCAAGCTAACAAAAATTGTATATATACAATGTGATGCTCCCATCTAATTAATTATCTGTGATTGGACAATGAACAACGAGGATTCCCGGATTGTACTAGGGTGCGTGTTACTTATAAGAACAAATATCAGTAGTATACACACAGCAACACTGGAAGTGGTAACGATCAACTGGTGAAGAGATTCCCAAGGACCTCTGTTGGTATATGAGCTCCTATGCGGTTGCTTCGATATGATTGTTTGATTATTCATTACGTTATATTGTACTTGGTAGTGGCTAACAGTGGAATCTGAGACGTGCGTTTCGTTTCATTCGAAACTCATCAGGTGGATGTACCTGCATCCTAGTGAGTGGTATTGTTCCTAATGAGATACAAACTCAACATAAGACGATCAGTTCGATCCAGAATAACAATCAGGAATTACAAGCAAGAAGAAATTATAATAACTGATACACGCTGCACAAGAAGCAGCTCTCTTGCCTCAGAGGATAATGCCTTAGATACTGGGTTCAACTATCAGTGGGAAGGACATCACTTACTGGAGTGTATGTACATGCAACTGATGAGTCGCAGATAAGACGAAACGTGTCTGCGGGACTCCACTACTGGCCCACTATCAAGCAAATTACACCATGATGTTAGTTACTGATAAAAACAGATATGCCAATAAGAGAATGATTTCAGTGCGATTCATAATATTTTAGTTAAACACCACATTGTATGATTGTCATGACAATTATTTCACGGGTGTAACACACAAAATTCCCAGCCCACTGTTTATTATGACAGTTATCGGTAGATGAGTCATCGATGGGAAATAGTATGCTTAAGTAAATAAAAAAATATAGTAGCATACGTCAAAACTAATTCTCTGATTTATTTTATGTTGACAGATATACTGATTATCATTTGACTATTTGCTGCAGTTTGGCAGACTGATATTTACACTGGGTGATGATTGGAGGCGAAATGGAAGTCTGGACTGCCGCTGGATTCGAACCAGCGATCATCGAGTTGCCGACCTGGTGCTCTACCAACTGAGCTACGAGGTCCGACTTCTGACCAGATTTTTATTTCACTTCAATCAAGGGTTTTGCCCGACTACCGTGTGAATTCGTGACGCGTTACTACCGCTTGATAGTATTCACGCTAGCTGCCTAGTCAGAACATCTCATCCCAGTCCGGTAGTAACGCACCACGAATTTACATGGTAGTTGGGCAAAACCCTTGATGATTGAAGTGAAATGAAAATCTGGTCAGGAGTTGAACCTAGTAAGTCAGTTGGTAGACCACCGGGCTGGTAAACCAGTGGTCGCCGGTTCGAGTCCGTCCGCGGCCCAGATTTTCACCTCACCTCCAATTATCACCCAGTATAGATATATCCATATTGCCATGGTCATTAATCGGTCTAAATACAATTTCAAAAATCAATCATAACACTTACTGATCAAACATGTAATTATTCACTGAACAATGATTATTCCATGAAATCTGAAGCATATGCTTTACTTTTAAAGTGGCATTTGTCACGGACTGACATCAGTTGGAGAACCATTGAAAAAACCTCAGAGCACTGGACTCCTCAAAGCTTAATGCGTTCGCCGTGAAACCTGAAGGTTCCGAGTTCGAGCCCCAGCCCGGTTGTAAGTATCTACTGCTGAGAAGTTTCATGTTATGGAGAAACAGCTGTCCAGAGTGCTCCGAAGATTTCCATGATTGCCCAACAAATATTAACCTTTGATAAATACTGTCTTGAAATAAAATCCCATTAATCTGAAAATGCATTACTTTATTGTTGTTAAGATAATGTTCGGAGTTAATTGACAGGATGTCTTGGAGTTAACCTTCTTGCCTGTCAATGATATAAGGTAAACGGAAATGAGTGAAAACCAGAGAAGGTTTATTACAGTGTTGATGCATAC